AGTGTGGCCGTCCTAGCTCTCGCAGGACATTGCGGGGAGGACACACAGGCTGACATGGTGAACAGCTTGCAACATCTGACAAGTGAATGGTATTTTTTTTTCCTCTGTTTTTCTGACATAGTGCCTCACTAACTTGAATTTGCGATCCTCCTGCCTCAGCCTCCAAGTACTAGGGTTTAGGCATGTGCCACTATGCCTGTCTTGAATGGTATTTTTAAGCACCATCAAACAGCATCTTATAATCCCAGGGCTTCAGTCTACATGTTCCTGTAACTGTTGATCTAACTCAGGAGTGGCGAACCCATGGCACATGTGCTGCAGTGGGCTGTTCGTTACCATTGAAAGGCTCCCCATTGTTGTCCTAACTTGAATCAAAAATACACAGCCCACAGCAATCCAGAGACATAACTGCTCTTATAATACAGAGTCTGTGACCAATCACAGAAAAGGTGATTGCTATTGAAGCTCTGGAGCTATTTGCTTAGCATGGTGAAAGAATTTCCCTGGTACACAGGGATTTATAGAGAAAGTAATATGCATTTTTTTTGAGATATGGAAAGATTTCTTAAAAGAAATTGTTTTTCAAGAGATGATGCTAGGTTTATGATGGTTCTCTCACTGATAAACAAACTGCAACTGGGTTACAGAAATATATATTCTTGGCTCATAAGGTTATCAACTTGATAACAAGGTCAGCAAGGCTATTAACATACCCAGAAGTCCATGGAGAGAAAGCACGTCTTTATCCCCAACACTAGTTACTTGTATTTAATAATATTTGGAACAGGATATTGGGGGATGACGGGCATGGAAAGAACAGCATAAAAAAGTAAGAACACATAAATGTTTCTTTCCTAACTATAGGTCAGGGGTCATTCAGCCTCTCTTGCCCCCCCACCTTCTACCATGCATGACCTCTAACGTCCTTCCATCTCTAAAATTCTAGGACTGCAGTAACTTTGTTAATGTCTATTTTTCAGGTTTGACTCAAATGATTCATCAGAATGCTAGAATAGAACCATCTAGGACATCTGATTTTCATGGTTTAGAATAACACCTGCTTTATCAGCTGAACTTAACTCTTTTTTTGGAACAAAGAAAGACACATAGACAAGGTAAATGGACATTCTCAGGATGCCAGAAAACCTAACTGCATTTTAAATAGGCAGCAACAAAGCACTGCTTCCAATTTCAAACGGTCAGTATATTTTTTCTGCTATATTCCAGAGAAAAAATTAGGTAGTTAGTCCTTTCAACTCACACTAAAAAGAATACCTAACTATTCACCCATCATGCTCTAAAAGAGAAATTGCACAGAATAGCTTAAAATAATACATCACTACAGTGACATATGTTACAACTGCCACCAGGGAAACCCAAGTTTGGCACTAAGTTCTCAGCATCAGGGTTAAAAAAAATTCTAGTGATCAGTCACACAGTTGTTGGGGAACATAAGGTGAAATAACCTCTCAGCGAAAATACAGCTGTTTGTGGTAGTTAGAAGCAAAATTCCTCCTCCGGGGTCTTCATGACGCACTGTGCTGACAGCATTCTCAGTAGCTTCCTTTAGCACAGACACAGAGGTGCTATGGTTTGTGGCGTGACCACACCTGTGGCTTTTGGAAGGTGACTGGAATTATGGGAGTTTATATCTGACTTCCTGTTAGGAGGTGGGGCCCACTGTGGGCACCGCCCACAGATTAGACTCCCTTCTGGGTTCCTCCCTGACTCTCCTTTTCCTGGATGCTGTAAGATGAGCAGCTTTTCTGCATGAGGGCCTTCCATATAACTGACAGTGGCCTTGGAGTGAGCTATGGACTGAACCCTCTACAAACTGTGAGCCAAAATATACCTCTCCTCCTCTAACTCAGGAGTATGGGGTATTTTATCTCAACAATGAGGAAAGTGACTAACACAAGTGGTTAGGTCCGCAGGCTAGGAGGGTTTTCACTTCCAAATGATGACATCACAACTGAACTAAGATCACGGCATGAAGGTCCCACAGCCTGAATCCAAACTCCTGCCCTGTCACTTAACTACTCTGGTCCCTTGGCCTCCCTGAGGATGGTTACATGATGAACATCAGTTAACAAGCCCTATATAGTGTGCAGTGTAAGCACTCAAGGAAGAGTGCAGAATAGGTGACTGGGGTGGGCACGGCTGTCAGGCAGCCCTAGTGTCCAGTTCCACAGGATCTGACATGAGCCCAAGGGAGACATTAGAAAAGTGTGCAAAATATGGAAATGTTTTCCATGCCATCAATACAACTGCTGCTGCTGCTTACTGATGACTAAAGTATGGTTAATGTCAGTACACCATTGAATTTTCAATTTAATTTAACTCAGCGGCTCCTGCACTGGACAGCACAGATGTCGAAGTTCCATCACTACCATTTGGTGGGTTGGTACTCATCTAAAACACCCACCTTCTCAGCAATATCTCTAAACAGTTACTAGTTCTGGATGAGTATTAGGTAGCAAGAAACTCCACACCATAGTCCTTGATATCTAACTTCACTGTGGCCAAATTTCTGTCTCCAGGTGAACCTGGGCCCTGCCTTGGGCTGGGGAGCAGTTGGTTGTCACGTAAAAGCAAGAGGAAGGGAAAACTGAGCAGCATGCCAGCCTGGGGCCTTGACGATGGCCAAGGGGTACCCGAGGCAAAGCCTAGAGCCTTCCCAGAAAGTGGCTTTGAATGCACTTGAGAGCCCACAGCAACGGGCTCTGGTCTGAACAATCTCAATGGGTGGTTTAATCCATCGCCAGCCTCGTCTCTTTCTCTAATCCCTGTTTTATTATCTTGGTGAAAAGCTATTTTCTGGTACTACTCGAAGGTAAACTGTTTGGAAAACAGACGCCGAGATGACTAAGATAAGCTGTAGCACTGCTCCCAAATAAAAGGGAGTGATGCTTGCTGAAGTCTGTAAAATGATTTCAAATAGATTATGTAACATAAAAGCGAGGTAAAGTAATTTATAGTAAACTGTGTATATAAAATATGTACTTAAAGCAAACAGTATCAGAAGGAACAGTAAGTTATTGATACCTGTAACAAAATTACAGTGGTAACTTCTAACACTGTCAACAACTTTTAAAACAGCTGCACTTTTTTTTAAATACAGGGCTGCCCCATGTTGTCCAGCCTAGCCTCAAACTTGCAATCCTACTGCCTCAGCCTCCTTAAGTAGCTCAGATTACAGGCATGTACTACCATAGTTTGCTTGGCCAAGTTTTGAATAAAACAAAGTGGGATCTTCTCTTAGTTATCTGATGGTTTTCTTTTTGGAAATTTATGGTACATTCAAACTATTCCAAAAAACTTTTAAATTGCAAAATGTAGTTCATTTCAGATAGCTAGAACTGTTTTTGTTTTTTTAACATATGAATGTCGAGCAGAATACTCAAGAATCATGTAGGATATATGATAATTCTTTGTCCTATTAAACCGCCCTATCTCCTATTGAATGTAAAATACCCAACACTTCTACCCACTGTCAACAGTGGCCTCAATCATTTCTGAAATTTTAGTCAACTGTGAAAATGCTGCCAACCCCACCCCACCGGTCATCAGTGGAGGCCTAGGTCAACATGGACAAGGCTCTGGTTGGTTTGAGAATGGGGCCCAAGATACACTGTCAGCCAGTGAAGCACCGAGGTTTGCCAGGGGTTTCCAAGCAGTCTCCTAGGAGGAAGTCAGAGGGATGAAGGTTTCTTCTTCTACCTGGTTAACAATGGATGTGCTGCCTGGAAATTCTGTACTCACCTGGGGACTAGCTGGAGGATGCAGCCCACAGGAGGGCTGAGAGACCACAGACCAGGGCACCAAGCTAAAGACTACTTGCAAATGAAAGCACTTTGATACACACATAAACAAGCTAAAGATAGTTAACATAAAGTTAAAATTTAAAATAGTGAAAAAAAATGACACCAAGAAGAAAATAACAAAGGTGCGTGTTGCTCCAGTGTCTACACCAAGCGGTAACTACCATGGGCAACGCAGGGAAAGCCCAGGCTCCTCAGAGAAGGGGACACACAGCACTGCCCCGGAGGGCTCAGCCCCCAAGCGGCAGCTGCTCTCTGGGACAGAGACCAGTGGCACAGTTCACACGTGCAAGTGCTGGGGGGCCCCTTGGATGCAAAAAGCTATTTCATTTGAAAATTAAAAATACAGTGATATTGTAGGCAGAGGATTAAGGCTCTGCTTTCGTGAAGTTTGTAATGACAGAGACAAATAAAAAACACGTTTACAGGGACACAGACAAGAAATGAAAAGGAAATGTGGTCACACCGAGTCCATCAGGCAGTGAGGACAGATGGGCTGAAAGGCGGAGGACCATGATGAGCTATGGAAGGCTTTCTGACATGCCAGGGTTTGAACTTGGATACTAAATTCTTCCACTGGGACAGTGCTATAAAAAGGAGCATTATACTCACAGAAGCTATCCGTACTCTCTGTTCCTTTTCTCCAATAAATTTTCCTACTCTTAAAAAAAAGGAGCATTATAGAAGTAGCAACAGGAGTGGAAAAGTTAGCCTTGCCCAGCTGAGATGGCAGCAGGCAGGCTCTGGAGGAGCACTGCATGGTCCCCAGCTTTGTGATACACAGCAGTGCACCGGGACAGCCAACTGCCACCGGAACAGAGCTCTGAGACCCTGCTCCACCAAGGCCTCGCTGTGACCTGAGGCCGGACGCAGTACTTGCCCTTCCCTGAGTCAGTTTCTCACCTCTGCCGAGGGGCCCGAGTCCTGCTTTAGGAGCGTGAGGGGAAGGAGATGAGGGCGTGCCAAGCATCCAGCCACCCAGGAGGTGCGCACGTTTTAGCTCCCGCGCTGCTCACCCAGGCCACTTCTGGGGAGTTAGAAGGCAGCCACGCAAAGTCTCTGTGGACATGACATCAGTTTTGAAAACAAGCCTTGTTTTTTTAAACAGCCAAGTTGTAATCTATTATAAAATCCTGAAATTAAAGAAAAGCCATGATACACTAAGAAAACAGACTGTGGTTAAGGATTTATAAATACATTTATTGGTGGTATTACGGAATGATGAATGCAGAAAACAGAATACAAAGAAATCTATACTTAAAAGGGAATATTAATCTTAAAAAACATATTTAATGTATCAATCAATTTGCATATTTGTTTAGACTTACAATGTAAAGTTAATTCCAAAGCTTTCATTCTGATCTTTTCTTTTGCTGTAATTTACATGGACTATGATTACTTTTGTTTGCACCTAACCTAAAAGCAAGACTCCATATGCTGATTACTGAAGCAGCCAGTTAACTGGGAATTTTAAACCAGCTCTGTAAGAGGATAAAGCCATTTGAAAGCAAGCCTCACAACCACACATATAAATACAAAGAAAATATCCAGAAGCAAAAGGATCAGGGATGTAGCAATTCTAGTCTAACTGCAATTTCTAAGTCTTGCAACAATTCAACTAGTGTTCATTGATATGCCTGTGTTTCAGAGTATAAATCTACCAGTTTTCAATATAATTTTCAGACTTCACTCAGTGGACAGTTATTAAGCCTTAATATTCTTTTATAATAACCTAAGAATATGATTTATACATTACAGAATCATTAACAAAAGGGGGCTTCTGCAGTGTAGTTTGGAGGCCAGACTTCAATTTTACGTAATGTTACCTTCCATAAAACGTTTGCGACACCAAGGACATTACTGTTGAGGGCCGTTAGTGTGGAAACACTCCATCCTTCCCAACTGCCACAGGATTACTGATCCTGTTGTTACACAAACTGTGACAGCCTCTAAGTAGACCATGCATTAAATAATTATAATACAACTGTGGCCACATGGCTAGCTTATGGAACTGATAATAAGCAGCACTACAGAACTGTAGTAACAGTTTACTATGGGGACTGTTTTTCCCTGCCAACTACTCAGTAGAAAAAGGGAACCTCTCAAATAAACACATGGGGCAAAGGAAAGTGAATAAAGTGAGTTTCTTTTTTTGCCTTTTTGAGACAGGGTCTGGCTATGCAGTTCAGGTTGGCCTTGAGCTCACTTTGTAGCCCAGGCTGGTCTTGAATTCCTAACGATCCTCAGCCTCAGCCTCCCGAGTGCTGGGATTACAGGGATGAGCCACCCCAGCCAGCTAAAGTGAACTTCTTAATGCTACTTCTTAGATAACTTTGTTAGCAGTTCATAAGGATCAAAATAGCCCTAAGACAATTACACATAAGATAAAATCAATCAGTTCTGGAGAAAGGACATCTCATTTTCACAAGTTTTGTTTGATTTATAACTAGACTTGAAAACATTTCAATTAAGTCAGCTTCTAACTACTAATTTGGCCTACAGAGTCTGAAAACATACTTCAAATTTTTAAGCCGAATGGTTTCGTTCCCCTCCCCGCAGAGACCATCGCAAAGGAATTGTTACAAAACTAAAAAAAAAAAAAAAAAACCACTAACAAAATCAAATCACACCAGAAGCCTGTGCTTCAGTCGATCCCATGTTTCTAGCAAGGAGGCCGCGCAGGCCCCTGGAGGAAGCCAGGCCGAGTCGGAGGCAGCCCGCAGTGTTCCCGACACAGCGGGACGGGTTTCACACGAGTCACAAACAAAAAGATAAAAATGCACAGCCCTCACTGCCTTGCACCGAGAAAGTGCTGAGAAACGGAGAAGCGACCCTGGGTGCCAGGAGGCAGGTCTCCAGCCGCCTCCCGGGAGCCCCTCTAATGCACCAGTTCCGGCTGGTTTTCCACGAAGGGCAGCACCCCGCTCACGTAGTAGGCAATGCCGAGAGACAGCAGCGCGATGACGAAGATCAGCAGCAAGACCCTCCAGAAGCCCAGATCCTCCACAAACTCCTGCCACGTGGTTCGAAAGCTGGAGAGGACGCCCTCGCCCTGCTGGAGGTTGGGATTGAGAAGAGAGTGGCTTTCCATAGCACTGGGAAGGGAAAGAGAGAAGCGGTGTGAAATGACGCGCTCCGTCCACTGCAAAGACGCAGAACAACGGGAGCTACCTTACGTGTTAGGTAGAGGAGGCCAAGCTGGAGATGCGCACTCCACCAGGAAACGGGCTGACGCAGATGCGCCACCCGCCTGTGTGCTGATTTATATATCCACAGGTACCTGACCTATTTTATTATCATTATTATGTTTGGTCTTTTCTTCTCGCTATGCAGTTCAGGTTGCCTTGGTCTCACTTTGTAGCCCAGGCTGCTCTCACACTTGCAATGATGCTCCTGCCTCAGCCTTCCAAGTGCTGGGATTCCAAGCCTGAGCCACCATGCCTGGTTCTTCTGATCTACTTTAGACCACACACCAATACGCTGGAATGATTATGCTTCTTGGATTGGAATCTAGTAAATTAAAAATCTTACTCATCAAATAGCTCAAGTGAGTTATTTCTATCAAGACACTAAATGAAAGCACTTCCACTTTTGAAGGTTAAAAATGAAAATTCATAAGCTGAGAATTCCCATTAATGAAAATAAGCAAAATGAGTAAGTTTTAAAAATCATTTATGTAACATGAAAGTTAAGTTTTTATTAATTAACTCGGTCATCTGACTAACGAAGGCATTCCCTGTTAGTACAATCCTCCAATCTCGGTGGACTGGGAATTTACTGGGAATTCTGAAGTCTCCTCTTGCTGGTGTCGGTTCTATCCTGTGCAGTAATACGGGAGTAGTGTGCTTCTCTACTGCACAAGGATGGATTCTAGCAGAAAGTGAGGGGGTGCAAACACTCTAAAAACACTGACTACAGCACCCCGACACCACTGGAGGGCAGCGTGATCACCAGAGAGAAAGCAGGATCCCTGCCTGCGGGACCAGGAGGGCTGCTCTGGGACAAACTGGCAGCCTGAGGGATTAGCACCCACCATTAGGTCACCACAGGCTATCATTCAGATTAAAGCCGCACAGACCATAATCACAGGGATCATCTATCTGCTGGTTGTAAAGGCTGGTTACTACCTTCCGAAAGGTCGTCAATGAAAGCAGCAGGAGGCAATATCCTGGAGTCTCATTTACTCTGAACTACGCACAAGCACACAGAGACTCGGCAGTTACTTTTGGCCCTACATCTTTGTTTTACTTCTTTCTTTCCTTTGAGACGTCTTCTTGCCACAGTGCCCAGGCCAGGCTTGAACGTCTGAGCCCGGTGCTGCTCCCTCCTCGGCCTCCTGAGTGCAGGGACACAGGTTTCCCTCCCCTGTCTCTTTCCCAGCATTTTACTTCCCTACCCTGAAATGACTTTCATAATCGCCCAGACTTGCCCAACTTCTCAGCCTTTCTTTCGTCCTTTTTGGAAATTCCATTCTTTTTTCTGACCCGAGCTTAACATTCTCAAGCGTGTGAGCATCTCCTTCCCTCAGCTCAGCTCTTACCTACTCTACTCCCTTGTACTGTCAGCACGGTGGGTGGGCGAGTGCACACATGCTATGTGGCAGGTAGCACTTTCTATGGAGAGGCTCTCAGTTGCCATCTGAAGCCACCAAGGACCTACACAGAGCTCAAAGTATCAAAACCCCGCACTTGAGAGTAAGGGGTGTAAAGTTTGCAAGGTACCACAGAAGAGCTGGTACTCAGTGATGCGCCCCTTAGACGTTTCATCTCAAGTACCTCTCGCTCTCAGCCGTCTGCATGGTCTCCAGTTTTGAGTGGGTGCCTCTGTTAAATCCTTTCACCTCTTGTTCTTCCAAAGATTCCAGCAATCGGATGACATCTTTATTCACGCCCCTGCGCTTTGCCAGAACTAAGGGGGTAGCACCTTGATGATTGCTAAAAAAAGAAAAGTTCATAAAATAAAGACCAGCACAACAGCTAAACTATACAGTGAGTGTCCACTTGTGCAGATCTTGTGAAGAAGGCATGAGACCAGCCGATTCAAAATGAAGCCTCCGAGCAGAGAGAGAAGTCAAGCTAGGAACTGAGGTCTAGTTACCCTACTTTTTTTGCTTTTTCCTTCTAAGGAAAAGGAAAAAGAATGTATAGGCAAAAGAGAGATAAATGCCAGTAAATAAAAGAGAGAGAACCTCTTGGAGATTAACTGGAAAAGTCAGTTCTAGTCTCCCTCTTATCCAGTATGTTTTATATGAAGAATATATATTTTAAAAAGTCTTATGAATTAAAAAAAAAAAGCTGCCTTTGGCTCACCCATCTGTTAACACTAACAGGACAGAACACACGTTGCACTGATGGCTACAGTAGGTCCCCACGACATCCTGTCCTGTTCGGACTCAGGGGCATCACAACAGAAAGCTCAGCAACAAGGAACTGTAATTTAAACCCCACGCTCAGTTTTAAGGCAGCCTGAGCCCTTTGCCACTCAAGATATGGGATAGTACTAACTCAGACAAGAGGCCTATGATTTCCTCCAACTTTTCAGTCTAAAAGAACACCGATCCTAGAGACTGTGAAGTTGGCAGCCCGTGTGACAGGTGCCACCTGAGCTTGGGAGTCAGTAGAATGAGGTTCAAATTCCCACTCTGTCTCTTACCAGCTATGTGACCTCTTGGACACCCACAAGTGTAAAATGAGGGTAACAAACTTCAGGAGCTATTCATTCGGAAGCTGAAACAAGCTAACTTAAGTAGACATGGTCCAACTCACAGATTTTCAACAAATGGTAGTTCTTTTTCCCTTGTCTTACACTACACAATTAATGAGCAGAAACTGACCACTACTTTCTCAGAAAAAAATTACAGTTTCTGCATAATCTAGAAGTTACCTTCTTGTTCCCTCACAAGATTTCACTGTCTCCAGTTCCTTTCTGAACTTGTCATTACAACTGATCAATGAAGAAAAAAAAAAAAATCAAGACTTCAAGATTACAGCATTGGTTGAGGGTAAATGGGAAGAAACGCTTAGCCTTGGAAAACCACAAAAAACTTACCAAATATCAATTTTGAGTCCATTGGAAACTAAAAACTGGATGGTGTCCACGTGGCCACAGAGGTGCAGGGCTGTGTTTCCTTGATAGTCTGTGGCCAGCAGGTCAGCACCAAATTTATGCAACAGCTGGCAGATGTCTACGTTCCCGCGGGCTGCCGCGAGGTGCAGGCCGGTCCTCCCCCTGCTGTCGCGGATGTTTGGGTCAAAGCCACTCTCCAAAAGCCGCTTGGAATAGTTAAAGTCCCCATCAATACAGGCTTGCAGCAAGGGCACATTAGTCTGGGAAGAATCGTTTACAAAAACATAGGACATCTCTCTGATGGGGCTGGTGGGAGACCCCTGCAATGAAATACGGGATGTGTGAGATTTGATGGAGCCCATTAAACCCAGACAACAAAGTCAATGGCAAAAGCATGATTTCTTACCCCTCTCTGTCTCTTGTCTATAACACACTGCCTCACCAAACGGAAATAATAATGAAATTATTAACTATATCTTATTTCCATTAACATATTTTATTTTCTTCACATCTGTTGGACTAAAATTACAACTGAATTACTATAAAGCTGTATTTGCTTTTCATCATGTAAAAAGATTAACAGAGATTTTTAAAGGTAAGCAAGATATAATGGCTTAACATTAACTACACTGTCAGAAGACACATAACGTGATCTTCAAATATCAAAGAAATATATATATATATGTGCATGTATGAATGCTACTGCTGGTACGTTTTTATTTTCACACAAAGTAATTAACTGTCTTTCATGTATTTGCTTTTTCTTTGAGTTATTCTGTATGGTAAATAAGCAAAGTTGCCTGCAGGGATGGGAATAAAAAGATAACTGATAGTTGTGTTTATAGCACAGGTTTCAAATTTTCATTAAAAATGTTAAGGAAAATAAAAAACAATTTAAAAATTGGAAATGTCATGAAATCTATGTAGATTACCCTTTTTTAAAATATATATAACCCCTCTTCTGCTAAACCTTTTTCCTCTCAACACACACTTTTGCCCAGTTTGCACTGTCTGAAGACAAAGAGGAGGCGGAGCCTGTCTGTCTGGGAAGAGAGCAGGAACCAGCGGCCAGGCAGCAGAGTCGCCCAGGGTGCTCCGCCCTGACTCCCAGCCTGTCTCAGTACTTCCCTGCCTGCATCCTCAGGACAGTCTGTCTTTCCCTTGGTTCATTAAAGCAAGATTGTCAAAAGAAACTTTACGAGGTTACCTGTAGAGAAAATAATCAAAACAAACTAGAAAAGCAGATGATGCTGATGGAGCTGGCTCTTAGTGTGAGGTTACAAAAGGCTCCGCTCACACAGCTTTTCAGATGAAGTCCTTCCTTCTGAAACACCAGCAGAAGCGGCTGCCCAGCCAGGGGACTCAGGAGAGCGGAACACAGGGCTGCTGAGCTGGGTGGGATTCCTGTCCTCCTCAGGCCCCTCATAGCTCAGTCACTCCCGTCTCCAACCCTGGGCTGCAAATCAAGTGCTTTTTCAAAAAGTACTATGTTCTGGCTATATCACACCAGGGCTCTGCTGCCACCCTGGGGTCTGGGGAGGGGACCTGAGCATGGACCAAGGACCTGTTCGGGCCAGGCATCTGCTACAGGGTTTTAATGAATTTTACCTGGTCTTTCTAACAACTCCATGCTAGAGTTTATTTTCTTTGCATTTCAGTGAGTCACTGTAGGATTTTAAGCCAAGTAAATGGCAGTCATATAAGGACATGGCAGGGAGGTGGGGCACCCTGGAGAGGGACACATAACATACAAAAACCCAGTGGACATGAAGGAGGAGCAGGAGCCAATAGGGGTAACTCCAAAACAGGAAAAAAATCTGCTTATGATTAAGAATTATGGAGGTCAAGATGAAAAAACACAACAAAAAAGCCCCTCCACAAAACCTTCAAAGTATAATAGCCATGATTTAAAAAAAAATAATTCTATGAGAATTTACTCACTAAAATAATCAAGAACAACTCTGAGGTTAATCTCTCCCTTCCCCTGTATAGTACTCACTGAACTGGGTTATAAAAATGATCCAAAGTTTATCACAAATCTTTGTAAAATAAAATACCACATATCGAGTGGTTTTTCAGAAAGTATTATGTTTTGGCTAAGTTTTGTAAGGATTCTGAAAAACAATCTCTTTGGTGTTTTGATCCAAACGCAGTAAGAATTCTTGCTGGCAGACTGCGAGTCTTCTGAAAGTTGGCGCAGGGAAAATACAAGCCTTTACTGGCTCCTCCTAGGTGAGAGGAAGGCTGGTGACTTCTGTCAATTTCTCCCTCCTTCAGAAACGGCTCACCTCACCCCTGCTTACTAAGCCCTGTGACGGTGGCGCTGTGCATCCTGATACAGAACTGAATCTGCATGATCGCAAGGCCTCAGGCCCCTGCGGGTTTCACATCCTGTGCAGGCGTCCCCAGCAGAAAGTACTCACGGAGGCCGGAGGCTCTGAGCTGTCCTCCAGGGGTCACTCACTGTGTCTGAATTCTTAAGCAGGTTCCACAAAAATGTTCGGCGATGTCTCAGCAAGGATCTATGATCAATACAGAAAGTTCAGTTACAGGAGGGTGTGGCGTGAGAAGGGACACGCTGTTCTCTCTGGCTGTTCTCTCACTTTCCGACAGGCACGGGGCTGGGGAGTTCTCCAGAAAACCCTCGCGCAGAAAAGGGAGGCCGGAGGGAAGAAGGCGGTGAGCGGCGGAACGGAGGGCTCAAGGAGCTGCTCGCCCTCCTGCTCGGGGCTGCGAGCAGCAAGCAGGGCCTGCAGAGGGAGTCAAAGTGTGCGCCAGCAGGAAGGCACCAGCCAGGCTCTGAGATGTACTCCGCCTTAGTCCTGACCCTCAGAATGCTTTATTTCTCTCGCTGTAAGTGGAAGCCGGGCCCAGATCGGTCCACAAAAGCGCCTGCATTTTATTTGTGGTGCGAGGCCGGAACCCAGGACCTTGCACATGCGAGATCAGGGCTCTACCACGGAGCCCCATCCCTGCTCCCACAGGAGCGATTCGGAAATAAAATGCACTCCTAAAACAGAGGATAAGCCGCATTTAAACCAAACAGGAGATTTAAGAAAAAGTATTTCTAATCTTCCTTGAATGCTAGTATTTAAATCTCTTCCTGAGATTACACTCCATCTTCTTTTCAGGGTGGAAGGAAATCTGGCTCAAACCTAGCTGCGGTCGGTCCTTCCAGCCCACCACCCCCCGCTGGCTCCTGAACCGGATGCTGCCCCACGCCCTCCCCGGTGGGTGCTGGGCCCACCAGGGAAGCTCCTCTGTGCGCTCCGGGAGACCATGAGAGCGACCATGGAGAGGGGGGGTCAAGAGCACAGTGTGAACAACAACCAGAACATCAGCTAAACAAACACCGAGCAGAGGCCGGAACCTGCCATGCTGAGAGGAGGAATAGGAGTCCAAAGCCTAACTCAGGATCAGGCTGAAATAATGCTGGCCTCTCCCTGGTCATTCACGTTCGTTTTTACCAAGTTATCTTTCAATAAATTGTGTAGAGAAATAACATCATGTAGTGAGGATTCATTCGCAATAGGTAGGTCAGGTTGTGACATAAAGGCCATCAGTGTCATGATGACATCCTGGGTGTGTGGGCCATTCCCATGGCAATGTCAGTAAACACCACGGAAGTCCTCCACCCTCACCCATTTCCTAGTGATCTGTGATTACATAACAGCGATTTTGACAAACTCTGTCCCTGGGCACTGCACTGTGATTTTTTTGGACTAGTAACTGAATTCATTCGAAGTCCAGCACTTTCCCTATCTCACTTTAACCACAATTAATGCCTCTCTCTAGTATAAGACTTTGCTTCAAATTTCAATGTTAAAATACTGCCAGGGCTTTATCCTAAAGGTAGCAGCATTCACGTTGTAAGTCTGCTTTCACTTGGAAGTGAAATGATAGGCCATGTAGTTTGCCCCCAAGCAATCCTAATGCTCCCTTAATCTACAAGTAAGGTAATTCTTCTGCCATTTTCTTCGGCTATGCCAAGACCTGAAAACCAATCCACTTGGTCAAATTACGTATTTATTTGTGATTCCATTAATTCATAGAAGTGCATTAGACTGAATTACTAAGAGCCAGTCAAGAGAACTTCTGCGGCTCCACCTGAACCTTAAACTGGAGATCCCTAACAGTTTTCCTGACAAGTCCTAACTTGTATCCAACGGATAAAAAAGGTGACAGATTCTTAAACTTTTCATTTTGCATTCACTGTAGCCTCGCATGTGGGAAATAATACAGAGGCCCTGCACATCCTTTACCCCGTCCTCCCCAGTGACAAATGAGGCCACGTCACAACCAGGAAAAGGACGTGACAGAGACAAGACGCAGTGTTGCCATCACCGTGAGGCTCTCGTGCGCTGCTCTCCTGTGGCTGTACCACTCCCTGCCCGTGTGCAGGCCGTGTACCACTCCAAGCCCGTGGAAGGCACTCTGTCTTTCATTTCCAATTCTCTCATTTCAGGAATGTGGCACAAATGGACCACACAGTACGTGAAGTCTTGTGGGACTGGCCTTGTTCACGCTGGAGACTCATGCAGACTGCTGAGAAGAGGAAGCTTGTCCCTTCTTATCACCGAGTAGCATCCTAAGCCACGTACAGTACATAACACCATTTAACAGTCAACCTCTTGAAGGACACGTTTTCTCCAATTTCGGCTATTATGTTAAGGTTTCTACAAACATTTCTATATATATTTTTATGTATCTAAATCTTCATTTTTCTAGGATAATGGTTAAGAGTGCAACTAGTAGGTTGTATGAAGCCCTAAATCTTTATAGATTTTTGACTAAAAGGCTATTGGACCAGAACGTATCTGTCTTCCTCAATGCAAAAAGGAAGGCAAGGTCATTGCTAGAGTCATTTGTCTGGGTTTCATAAATTCAGGTGGGGCCATAATTTGTATGTCTCACTGCTGGGTGACTGTGAACCCATCAGTGGTATATGCATATATCTCATCAAGCAGCATGGGTCAGTCCCTTTGGGTGATCTGTACCGCCCAGGCATGTACCACTGGTGCTCAAGCAGGAACATGTTAAAGTTATTTATGGAAGCACTTGTGGAACCAAGCAGTGGGCAAGACACAGGTGAGTGCCTTCAAGTTTAACAAAGGGACCACTTAAGAGTATCACCACCTTCACATTAGAGGCACTACTAAGTATGTGAGCAGGGAGCTAGTAGCTCTCAAAGTTCACCAAGCTGAGTTAGTTCCCCTCTGAGTGGATGTAAGAGCGAAGCATCATGAAGGCTGCTTTTAGAGGTGGGAAAGAGATGTGATACAATCTGTCTTCTGAGAAGGACTACGCCTGGTGACAGTGCAGACAGCCTCTCCCCTGCTGGAGGTGGTCAAAGAGCTCGGCTGCTCCACCCAGGGTATGAGTAGAGGGCACTGCCCGGGTCCTAACCTCGGCACAGCCACTCACCAGCCTCACAGTACTTAAGCCACTGTCCTTCTGAGGCTGAGGACAGTGCCGCAGCACTAAAGAAAGCTTGCACAGATCATCAGCCCCTTGGTAATAGAGCGGCTCCCACTTATGGGGTGACATCTAGTGGAAAAGCAAGATCTCCAGGAAAAAAAAAAAAAAGGGAGAACTGATTCCTGGCTAAGAAGCCCCACAGTGTGGTACCAGGAACAGCCCATAGTGGAAGAAGGCAAGCCCCAGAAAGCACGCTGGTTGTTACCCAGGGCCCGGGACTGGTTCCGAGGAAGACATGTTAGCACTGTTAGAGCAGAGGCGAGTCTCGGAGATCTGCTGCACCTGACACAACTCCTCACTCCTGTTTGGTGGCGACCTCTGACAGCGGCCACCAAGGCATTCTTCCTCTGGGGCAGGCGATCCCCTACAGCTCAGCAACAAGTGCTCCTGACCAAACAGTGCTCACTAGACCCAGACAGCAAACCACCAAGCAGGCCTGGGGGGAGCCTGTGAGTCACTGACCTGATGGTAAGTTCTAGTGTTCTCTTTTTATATCTCAAACTCCAGTCCCATATTCTTAGGTCAGTCTACAAAACTCTAAGATCATATTCCTGATGTGAGGAACTAACGAACAGAAGACATTCTATTTTAACTAAATCAGTCTTCTATCTCCAATATCAACAACCACACATAGTATATTGATTTACTTTTCATTTTGAAAGGTCACTGGAAAGGCAAGACTAAGTGTACATTTTTGGTCCAAATGGACTGACTACATTATTCCTATACAGCAATTTTAATCAGAGATCAAAGCATCAGACACTTTAGCAAAGTGGAAGAAAAAATGGCATAGAGACTATGAGGTCTTAATGCCAGCATTTTCCAGTGTCCAAGGAAAGCTTACATGCAATGGAGAAACACTCTAGCATATAGAAAGGGAAGTTATTTGTAGGAAAATCTTATGCACAGCTTACGTACCAGCTCCACAAGGAATATAAATGTGTACGGTAAAGTTATTAATAAAAACTTTAAAGTATGAGATAAAAAGCACTAAAACTGATGAAATAAATGACATATCACAAATGGAGCCCCCAATCTGTATTCTCTATCTTTTAGTCATTCTTATTCTTTTAGAAGACTATGGTTTACTGTTAAATGAAATAAGTCAGACACACAAGTATAAATACCACAGAATTTCTCTGGTATGAGAAACCGAAAGTGTAAATAAGGACCAAAATATATATTAGGTATTGTGAAATAGGAAAAAAAAATGTTCAAATGGGAGGGAAACAAAGGAGGAAGAGGGGGAAAGGAGAAGAAAGTAACAAAAAAATAAGAAGAAAAGTTGGAAACAAAGCTACTGTAAATGGGGAGGGGAGGAGGGGTTGGAGGGAGCACAGGGAAGTGGAGAAAAAAGAACCACGTTATATCACGTGCAGGCACAGATTCTCTACGATGAATGTGATCATTATGAATATCTAAAATGCACCAATAAAATCTGATTGAAGAGAAAAACCAAAAATACGAACAAAAGAATACGGTTGTTCCAACACATACAATGACCTCAAAGAAGCGTGAAACAGGAACTTCCAGAGCGGTCGTTAAACCCTACACAGTGGTACTTCTGAAATGGCTATTCTTGAAAGCCAGCCTGAGGAGCTGGGGTATAGCTCAGTGGTTCAGCGCTTGCCTTCCATGCACAAGGTCCTGGTTCCATCCCTGTCACACTGTAAACCAAACCAAACCAACCCCCACCCCAGGCCCTAAGCTCTACACAAACTCATAGCTGCTGGGCAAGGCAGCAATGTCTACCAGGACTCTAGCTGCAGCTCTTCAGCGTGCTCATCTGCAGCAGTGGAGTCTCTGGCCACACTTCTGCAAAAGACAGGGCGCACGTGGGGCTACAGGATTTCCAACATGACACGCATTTTCTATGAAGTTACCAAGATAATCAGAGAACACAGTTCACGTAACACTTAGCTGCTTAATCACAACTGCCCTAAAGTTCCTGCCAGAACAGGTGTGTAGAAGGCAAGAAGTTGGTGACACGTGGCACTCACTCTGTCACACACAGTTCTTAGGACTGCACATGGCTGGCACATAA